AAGCCATTTAAAACTCATTGCACCTGAAGAAAACACCAACTTTTTGCCTTTTCTGTTGAAAAAATATTTATTACAAATTATAAATTTTTCTGAAATCTCCAGATTCTTGCTGAAATTATAGGGAAATGAAAACTCAGTTTGTCTATCTGTACTCACCTGCTATAAATATGTGTGATATTTTACATTTAAAGTGCTTGCTACCCTAAATATTGATTTTTTTTAAATGTGTGCATTCACATATATGTATTTTATAAATCAAAATATCTATCATTTTTATTTACTTCTACCATCCTGCCAGTCACCTTTCCTCCTTGTTCTAAATTGACCACACGAAGCACAGAAGCTGATCTGACCTTCCATGGTCAGTTTTCACCCTTTGGCTGGTCATTCAGAGGTACAGGACACTGTGCAAACACACAGCATGCCTGTATTGGGTAGTTTGTTCAGTCACTAACCCACTCAACCAATCACAGCTTCTCTGTAAGCAGGAGCTTACAAGGGGGTTAACAGTTTTTCTTTTGCTGTGTTCATGCTCTGGTGTTATCCAGCTCAACTGTGTTTGTACAGAGTAAATGGTACAATGTATCTTTCTGCTACATTTCTCCTTGGTTGACCTGCTGGGATGGGACCTGCATCTGAGAGGGAAGGGTTAGCCCTATTGGTTGGGTTTTTCTCACTCTTTCTCAGAAGGTTAAAGCCCCCTGCATGTCATACTATATAAAAAGGGCTCAACTACTAACCCTTCAAGATGTAGCTGTTACCCTGTCGGACTGAGCCTCCATCTGGGGGGCCAGTCAGAGTTCCCTATGGGGTTGGGAAGCTGAGAACTTACATGCACTTATAGCTGACAGTTATGGATTTACTACCTTTTATGGATTATCACCAGATCAAGGATTCTTAGGGATTACTTTCTGCCTTCTGCCTAAGGAACAGTCACTTTATGAGGGCACTTAGAGAAATCTGTACAGGAAAGTGTGTAAAAGATGTCTTTAAGAACTGTTTGGCCACGAGTTATAAAATAGTTAACTGTGCATGTTGCTGCTCGCTTCTGAGTTGGGAGACTTGCCTTAATGTTCATTTCACATGACCCCGGCTCCCTACCTATGCTATAGGTATTAGCGTGTGCAATTCCACAGTGTTCCTACAAGGTCACTTTAAGAGATGTCCACATGCTTCCGGCACACACCCCTTCCCAATCACAGCCTTCCTCTTGAAACACAGCCCCTGTTCAACCACAATCTGCACCTTGCTTCAGGCTGAATAGACTATGGAATACAGGCAGACTGTGTGCCTCCAAAGTGTCCTGTAACACTCTCCCCCCACACTATCAAGAAGAGGTGCATGGTCATATGACAAGACTTCTATCCATAAAATAAAAGTTTTTTTACTACTTTCAAACTGTTAGTCCTCATGCACACTTGACATTTTACAGCGGCTGTTTTTGGCTTTTGACATTTTTTCTACAGCCAGTAAACCCCTCAGCATGTTATCCTATGTGTCCATGCACACATAGACTGTAATCAACATTTTTTGGCTGGGCCGTTTTTTGGCTGGAAAAAAAAAACAGAAGTAGTGGGTTTCTAGAGGAGTTTTTTAGCTGTAAAAATACTCAGTAATGTATAGTTGTGTTCAAAATAATAGCAGTGTGTTGAAAAAAGTGAATAAAGCTCAAAATCCTTCTAATAGCTTTTATTTCCATACACACAAATGCATTGGGAACACTACACATTCTATTCCAAATCAAAACATGAAGAAATATATATCAAATTTGTGTTGTTCCTCTAAAACAATTGAAGAAAAGTGAATATTAGACTGTTCAAAAAAATAGCAGTGTTTGTATTCTTCTTTACAGACTCAAACATTCACTATATAAACTGAAAAATGTTTGAAGATTTTGCTTTCCTTTGAATCACTTAATGAATAATTAGTTGTATAAGCACTGTTTCTGAGAACTGCTGTACATCTGTGTTGCATGGAGTCAACCAACTTCTGGCACCTGTGAACAGGTATTCCAGCCCAGGATGATTGGACTACATTCCACGGTTCTTCTCTATTTCTTGGTTTTGCCTCAGAAACTGCATTTTTGATGTCACCCCACAAGTTTTCTATTGGATTAAGATCCGGGGATTGGGCTGGCCATCATGTACAACATTTGCTGCCTTCCTTCCTTAAATAAGGGCAATAATTGCCACCTGTTTTTCAAAGAATGAACGACCTCACTAATAGAACTCCACACTGCTATTATTTTGAACATGCCCCTTTCAATTAGTCATGACTGTTGGGTCTGTTGGATTTCTATTACTCTACTACACCTGCTAGTAAATTATTTGCCATGTAGAAATATAATTTCTACCAAAAACAGTGACTGATCAGGTTAGTGATGTCTGACTGCTATTATTTTGAACACAACTGTATATCCCCCGCTCCCCTGTACTCCATTATAGTGATATGACGTGTACACAGTAATGTATATCCCAGCTCCCCTGTGCTCCATTATAGTTATGACATGTATACAGTAATGTATATCCCAGCTCCCCTGTACTCCATTATAGTGATATGACATGTATACAGTAATGTATATCCCGGCTCCCCTGTACTCCATTATAGTGATATGACATGTATACAGTAATGTATATCCCGGCTCCCCTGTACTCCATTATAGTGATATGACATGTATACAGTAATGTATATCCCGGCTCCCCTGTACTCCATTTTAGTGTTATGGCGTGTACACAGTAATGTATATCCCAGCTCCCCTGTACTCCATTATAGTGATATGACATGTACACAGTAATGTATATCCCAGCTCCCCTGTACTCCATTATAGTGATATGACATGTACACAGTAATGTATATCCCAGCTCCCCTGTACCCATTATAGTGATATGACATGTATACACAGTGATGTATATCCCAGATCCCCTGTACTCCATTATAGTGATATGACATGTATACAGTAATGTATATCCCGGCTCCCCTGTGCTCCATTATAGTGATATGACATGTATACAGTAATGTATATCCCAGCTCCCCTGTACTCCATTATAGTGATATGACATGTATACAGTAATGTATATCCCGGCTCCCCTGTACTCTATTATAGTGATATGACATGTATACAGTAATGTATATCCCAGCTCCCCTGTACTCCATTATAGTGATATGACATGTATACAGTATGTATATCCCAGCTCCCCTGTACTCCATTATAGTGATATGACATGTATACAGTATGTATATCCCAGCTCCCCTGTACTCCATTATAGTGATATGACATGTATACAGTATGTATATCCCAGCTCCCCTGTACTCCATTATAGTGATATGACATGTATACAGTAATGTATATCCCAGCTCCCCTGTACTCCATTATAGTGATATGACATGTATACAGTATGTATATCCCAGCTCCCCTGTACTCCATTATAGTGATATGACATGTACTCAGTAATGTATATCCCAGCTCCCCTGTACTCCATTATAGTGATATGACATGTACTCAGTAATGTATATCCCAGCTCCCCTGTACTCCATTATAGTGATATGACATGTATACAGTAATGTATATCCCAGCTCCCCTGTACTCCATTATAGTGATATGACATGTATACAGTATGTATATCCCAGCTCCCCTGTACTCCATTATAGTGATATGACCTGTATACAGTAATGTATATCCCAGCTCCCCTGTACTCCATTATAGTGATATGACATGTATACAGTAATGTATATCCCAGCTCCCCTGTACTCCATTATAGTGATATGACATGTATACAGTAATGTATATCCCAGCTCCCCTGTGCTCCATTATAGTGATATGACATGTATACAGTATGTATATCCCAGCTCCCTGTACTCCATTATAGTGATATGACATGTATACAGTATGTATATCCCAGCTTCCCTGTTCTCCATTATAGTGATATGACATGTACTCAGTAATGTATATCCCAGCTCCCCTGTACTCCATTATAGTGATATGACCTGTATACAGTAATGTATATCCCAGCTCCCCTGTACTCCAATATGTGATATGACATGTATACAGTAATGTATATCCCAGCTCCCCTGTACTCCATTATAGTGATATGACATGTATACAGTATGTATATCCCAGCTCCCCTGTACTCCATTAAGTGATATGACATGTACTCAGTAATGTATATCCCAGCTCCCCTGTACTCCATTATAGTGATATGACATGTATACAGTAATGATTACTGTATACATGTCAACCAATCTACCAAGCTCCAAAATGTAATTTTTGGTGAACTGGTCCTTTAAACATTTACAGTGTGAAAATTCATATGGCATTCCCTGGGATATCTGTTTCAAAAACTACGGGGAAATGTCCAGGCACAGATTTAAGTAGAGGAGTGGTTTATATTTTAACAGATAATTTGCCTGAATCATATACAAATGTATACACCCTTACAGTGCACGCAGAAAATAACTTGTTTGGTTAGTTATATTTGCATATATTATAAAGAGAAGACAATGTACCAGGGTACTGTATTACAGAAGATATAAGAGATACTTTCTGTAAACTTCTAATACAAGTGGGATGGGCCTTTAAGCCCTGTCTCAGTATATACAATTCCAGTGTAATGTGAGACTACAGAACCCACATAAGGCAAGACTCATATGAATCTTACAGCAACGTGGATCTTTAACCTCCCTAGCGGTCTGATTATGTCCATATTTCTGTGCTCAAAGCGGTACATTTTTTTGCATGGAAATATGTTGTTTTTTTATTGTAGACCTGTAATTTTTAGGACTAACTCACTGAAATCTGCCCGAACAAGAGTCTAGTAAACATCCCGGGTAGGATAAAACTTGAAACACGAAATCATAAATTATAATTTAATAAATAATCATAAAAAATAATAATATAATAATAATAATAAATGTAATTCAATAATATAATCAAACCAAAAACACTTAAATTTGAAATATAGCTCCAAGTTCGCACATCACTGAGCAAAGTTACAAAATCGTTTTCAGTGTCTGATGACGAATTTCCCCACGAATCATTATCACTCAATTCTGCAAGTGGTTCTGATTTACTATCGCTGTTCTCTAGCTGGTCTAAAACCGCTTTTGACCTAAAGGGACACTTTTTGGACGCCATGCATGTTTCTCAGTTTACAGGCAGAAAGAACAGTAAAATTGCAGGCAGGGCACAGGACAAAGCACTCGGGACAAAATGTATGTGAAATGGTTTGATACAGTAATGTTTTACTATGTGATTTTAGTGATTTTAGTGAATGTCACTTTTTGTCATTTTCAAATTTCCCACCGTTCCATCCCCCGTACGTCCCGACACTCGCAGGGGACGGAACCCATATGACAGATGCCGGAGGCCGCCGGATTACATTGCCGGGGACACTGCAGGAGGGACATCACGGGAGCGCAGGACAAGGTAAGTGATCGAGGGATCCCAGAGCAGCGCCGCATGGTAAGCCCGAGTGTAGCTCGTGGTTACCAATAATATATATCTTAAACAGTGAAGCGCTAAATAAATAAATATATATATTAGGTGCCGTCAGTGAATATAAGTGCTATAGTGTAATAATTCCTTGTAGATCACTGGAACATGCCAACCAATGGTGTATATAACTGGAAACAAAACTGAATACTTAATATATCAGTGAGAAATGCTAAATAGATATATAAATAAATATAAACACACCAGTGATGAATAATCTAATACCTCCGATAAAAACTTCTTCTCATTCACAGAAGAATATAAATAAATAAAAAAAAGTGCTCATTAAGTGAACAAATGATCAAAAACTCAAAAAGTGAACAAGTGTATATAAAAAAAACTTTGCTACTTGCATATACCAAAAATGTATATACATATCCAGCTGTGTAGGGAGCTGCTCTAGAAACCTCACATACGTCCTATATGACGTATGAGTGGAGGAGAAGTGGAGACCCTGTGATCCCCTGCTGAGCTACCGAAGGAGAAAGATTGGCCATAGAGGAGATTAAGTAGCCTTTTGGCCCCTTGAGGGTCAGTGCGGGGGAGGTGAGCAGGCACTGCTGCCATTTGTGTGTGTTGTGCGCACTAGAAGTGAAGACCACGTTTTTTTCACAAGCTACACCTGCATGGACTTTATTTATCTATATATATGTTATATGTATATACATTTTTGGTATATGCACGTAGAAAAGTTTTTTTATATACACTTGTTCACTTTTTGAGTTTTTGATCATTTGTTCACTTAATGAGCACTTTTTTATTTATTTATATTCTTCTGTGAATGAGAAGAAGTTTTTATCGGAGGTATTAGATTATTCATCACTGGTGTGTTTATATTTATTTATATATCTATTTAGCATTTCTCACTGATATATTAAGTATTCAGTTTTGTTTCCAGTTATATACACCATTGGTTGGCATGTTCCAGTGATCTACAAGGAATTATTACACTATAGCACTTATATTCACTGACGGCCCCTAATATATATATTTATTTATTTATTTATTTAGCGCTTCACTGTTTAAGATATATATTATTGGTTACTGAATGGTTAAGTTTTAAGTGACAGCAGCTGTTTCAGATAGGGGATTGTGCCTATATTGAGCGCAGGAGGATACTCTAATACTAGCTCGTGGTTACCGCTTGTAAAACTTTACCTGGAGCTACACTCGTTAATACCTCCAGGGAGGTTAATGCACTGATCACTCATTACATGAGACATTGCGACAATAACAATAACATTTTGGGGTTGACTTACTAAAGCTAAGTACACTGTGCACTGCAAGTGCAGTTGCTTTAGATCCGAGAGGAAGCTCTGAAAGGAGGCGAAGCCCTGATCTCTTTCATCCAATCATGTGCAAGCAAAGATTCTGTTTTTTACATTTTCCTTGCATGTTCCCCTCAGATCTAGAGCAACTGCACTTGCAGTGCACGTCCAACGGCACATGGAGTGCACTTGCAGTGCACAGCCTATTTGCCTTTAGTAAATCAACCCCTGTGTGCGGGGAAATTCTTCCCAAATAATATTTTCTTCTGCTGCTCTTTGTAATCAGTAAAAGGGTGAAACTTAGCAAGAGGTTATGGTACTGTATTAAAGAAAAAGCATGGGCCCAGTTCAGAGTTTTGGCAATTGAGATGAGACTTAAAGTGTTACTAAACCCACAAGAGTATAATCAGTCTGTATATGCAGTAAACATGCTTGTTATAATCACTGTGGAACCTAAGGGGTTAATCCTCTGCATTGAGTAAAAGGGCTGTTTTATCCTACCTTCTCTGATTCCCCCCCCCCTTCCACATCCCCAATCCATCTGCTTTGACTTGTGGACAAGCTGCACATGCTCAGTTTGGTGTGTATTGCTAGATAGTTTTCTTTTCTTCGGGAGAGTGCATGTGATCGGCACAGGGCCAATCGGCACTGTCCAGAAAGAGGGTCAGGGGTCCTGCAGCCTCATAGGACAAAGAACCAGCAAACACAAATGCTCCTGCGCTTGGGGATGGACTCGATGCAGGCTACAACCACATTAAGAATGTCCTGGAACATGCACACCTTGCTGCCCTCAAATGGACCGGGGGAATCCAAATATACTGAATGGGGAAAGAACAAAGAGAGGGCGCACAGGCCTAGTGCACCACCATAAAAAATGTTTAACAAAAAATAAAGTAGGTGTTGTACTCACAAACGACAATATAGTCAAGGCACATCATAAAAGAACAGCTGGATCAACACCGCGCTGAGTAACAGTCCGCAATAGGGAGTTTAGGCATCCAAAATGCTAACGCGTTTCGAGGACTTGCCTCTTCCTCAGAGCCACTTTTATGATGTGCCTTGACTATATTGTCGTTTGTGAGTACAACACACCTACTTTATTTTTTGTTAAACATTTTTTATGGTGGTGCACTAGGGCCCTCTCTTTGTTCTTTTCCCCATTCAGCCTCATAGGACAATCAGGGGAGAATGAAAACTCCTCCTACAAGCTTTAACTAGTGCTCTGCTGGACACTGATAGAAGCCACAAGACTGCTATATACTTCTGATGAGAAAAGGTATTCATCAGTTTATATTTACTAAAATAATTGCATGTTCTGTGTACTGTGGGAGACCAGATATAATGAATGCAGGGTCATGGGTTTAGTAACACCTTGAGGAGGCTAGTATCTTTAAGGCCAACCACTAAACCAGATATACTCTCCTTCTCCGGGTTGCCCCACCATTGCCCCTTTAGTGCTGCTTCAAAATACCTGGCACCTTTGGGTATTGAGCAGCATGTGACCTTCTATCAAGATGAAGATTCCAACCACTCCTAGTGTATGAGCAACCTACACATGGTTTTTATAAGGGTGACACCCACAGAGTGGCAGGGGAGTGCAGAAAAGTGAGCATATGTAGGTCCAGGGTTAGTTGAATGGCCAAAGTGATAGTATCATTAAAATTTAAGCAAAATTTGCAAAATGTGTAAAAAACAATTTAAATTATCAACATTTGTTTAATTGTTTAATTCCATTCATTATTGTGATTCACACGCTCCTACCACACTAGGTAACCACTGCTCAGCGCCAGACACATTATGGATTGCCAAGTCAGCTTCCCACATGCAGCCTTCCTATTGGTCTGTGACCAATAATTACCACCCTGGTGAGGTCCTCTTTGGGCTCTCTGCATGTTGTAAGCCCCCTATACATTTTTTCCATTATCTCTCCTCTGCCTAAAATTACAGCTTCATGCGGTGTAATAATGCCTAATTGGATCACAATGCTGAGAATACTATTTTTTTCGCATCCATGACGACTGTTTAAAATTGGTTATGTGCTACACTGTGGATATGTTTTTAACTCTGCCAGACTAAGAATGAACTCTTTCCATCATATTTAATTATCTCTGTCTTAAGGCCAAATAATAATGGCTGCTCTGGAATCTGACAGCAATTGGTCATTTGGTCACATGATTTCTGCTGAAGGATACAGTCAAAGTTCAAATAGACTTAAAGTGTTACTAAACCCAGGACCCTGATTCACTATATACAGTCTTCCCCAGCACACAGAACATAGAAATGCAATTATGTTAGCAAATATAAACTGCTAAACACTTTTTCTTATTAGCAGTATATAGCAGTCTTGTGACTTCTAACTGTGTCCAGCCAAGCACATGTTAAAGCTTGTAGGAGGAGTTTTCATTTTGCACTAGGAGGATGCAGGACTCCTGACCCTCTGTCTGGCAGTGCTGATTAGTCCTGTGCTGATAACATGCACTCTCCCCCCAAAGAAAAACCTCTCTAGCAATACACACCAAACTGAGCATGTGCAGAGTGACTCTACACAATATGTATTATCAGGAGATAAGAGGGGGACACTGGAAGAAGGAGAAGTTCAGAGAAGTCAGGATCAAACAGCGTTTTTTCACAATGAAGAGGATTAACCCCTTAGGTTCTACAGTGATTATAACAAGCATGCTTTACTGCATATCCAGACTGATTTTACTGTTGTAGGTTTAGTAACACTTTAACCTTCCACTTATGAGAGATGAAGTAACCATAAGACATGGATGACCTGTATTTCTACATTTCATATTCAAGCAGGGTTATTAATTAGAAATGGGTGCAAAATGTGTCTAATCTCCTAGATTGTAAGCTCCAAGGAGCAGGGTCCTCCTTTCCCTCTTGTATTGAACTGTATTGTTGCTGTATTGTCTCCCGTTATATTGAAAAGTGCTGAGCAAACTGTTGATGCTATATAAATCCTGTATAATAATAATTGTGATATAAAAGGGAAAAAAATGAAAACAAGATAGCATGTAAAAATCTACTCAGATACCTTGTCGTTTTTTCTCTGTGGGGTAATTTAAAAGTTCAAATACCCTGGAATAGAAAAGAAAAAGAAGCCAGTGACATAAAGTTTGAGACTATCTCAATTATATATGTACATTTTTTGTCTTTTTCTTTTTTTTTGACTGGAGTGTTTTGAATGCTATAACTATATCCGCCTAACATAAATGTCTGATTTTATGGTAATGAAGATGTTAGGACAACAATCCGGTTGTTTAATTGACATCTTTTTTGAAGAAGCAAGCTTTTATTTTGTAAAAGATAATTAAAAGTCAATATAATTGACAGCAATATTTACGCATAAAGCTAAGATAGATCAAGTCAAATGACAGTGTGCATCAACATGTGTATAACAGCTAGGCATTGTAGGAATATTAATTGCAGTAGCTGCATTACTTTTT